CACTTTTGGTTTCATTCAGAGACAACGTTTTCTCTGAGCTACTTAAACCGCCGACCGCGAAAAGTAGTTGTTGAACATTTCAGTCATGCTAAGAGCCACTCAACAATAACATATGGTAAATCTACATTTTCATTCTTTAAGTTACGTCACATTTTGTAATGTGAATGATAATATGATTAATGTCTAACAATTTAGTGCAGAATATCCTGCTTGCGAAATAAAATTAGGCATCAACGTTATTCATGCCTGTTCTCCCATTATTTCAAAAGTGAACGTTGAGGTTTGCCTACATGCGCAGCGTTTCAAACGGGAGCAGATGAACGCTCGGACTGACACCACAGTTCAAAATATACATAAAAGATCAATCTTTTATACGTTTTGGAGTTCGAACATATGAATTATGAAAACATGTTAGTATTCACTAACTTCAGTTACAAGCAGCTGTAGTTCTGCTGCCACGACCGTCTTTATAATGGATAATTAACTGCTTAAGGCGATTATTTTAAGAAGGTTTAATATTGAACCTTTTTTTCAAGAAAGATCTTGTATCATGAATGTTTTGAAGAAGGGAGTTCTCACCTTCCAAAAGCGCTTGGTTATCAGGTTTCTTTTCTTATGGTTCGTCTAATTTTTGATTCTGGGCGATTTCTTAGTATATTCAAAGATCTCCAGGTTTGAACTCGACCAAAAAAGCAACAGTTTTATGTAATAATGAACTTTCAAAAATATTATCTAACTCACAAGGTATTTGACTTGAAAATAAAACACGCAATGAATATATAAAGCTGATAACAGTTATACAGAAACAAAATTAGGCATTTATCACATCTTTTATCTTTGTTAAAGCATGCGATGCTTTTAGACATTGTTCGTATATTTAGATAAGCATAATAGTCTAATACATCATGCCTGTCATTGGCCAGTTACAAGCGACAACATGTTAGTTCAGATTTGTAAACTTTAGCATTCTAAGCTTTCAGCTATACTGCTATTGTATTGATCAAATGTTTCAACTCTCCAATGTTGGTAATATCTTTATTGGAAGTTTCCTCACCTCTAACATATCTGTACGTTATCCTTATCAGCTCTCTTCCAAAGCTGCCATTTTTTCGATATTTCTTATTGTATTTGTTTGTTTGTTTTTAAGCGTAAAGCTACACAACTGGCTATCGGTGTTCTGTCCACCGGATATCGAAACCTGGTTTCTAGTAACGTTGTAAGTCCGCAGACGTGCCGCTGTGCCACTGGAGGTGGGGATTTCTTATTGTATGAGTTAACGAAATAACAATACATATTTTGAAGATATTTTTTCAAAACATGAAAAAAGCATAAAAATACTCTGTCAAAACTTTTACTTTCAAACGTGTCAGAGATGTCAACGGCTATTTTTAGTATACTGATATAACCTACTTACAAAGACAAGAGAAAAGACTACCAATAAATTTTGATGAATAATATATAGTAAAAAAAGAACAAACGAAGTAAGGTTTGTTCGAATAATTGGATGTTAATATATATTCAATTACTCACTTACAGGTGAGTATTGGTTCATTGAATAATTGGATGTTAATATATATTCAATTACTCACTTACAGGTGAGTATTGGTTCATTGAATAATTGGATGTTAATATATAATCAATTACTCACTTACAGGTGAGTATTGGTTCATTGAATAATTGGATGTTAATATATAATTAATTACTCACTTACAAGTGAGTATTGATTCATTGAATAATTGGATGTTAATATATAATCAATTACTCACTTACAGGTGAGTATTGGTTCATTGAATAATTGGATGTTAATATATAATCAATTACTCACTTACAGGTGAGTATTGGTTCATTGAATAATTGGATGTTAATATATAATCAATTACTCCCTTACAGGTGAGTATTGGTTCATTTTTTTTCTGAGATTATAAATACCAGTTAAATATTTACCGTAGATAGGTGGAGGCTTTAATCATGAGGGTAGCCTAACATGTCCCTTACTTCTCTGAGCGACTTGCTCTATAGAGTAATTTCGATTAAACAAAGCAAGATATGGTGTGGTTACTGTTTATTTCAAAATATATTTTAATACTAGAAATGAACGACCTTATAACACCAAAATGTTATTTTTCTTTAATTGGACACTCAACGTTTCGCTTTACAGCTTCTTCAAAAGCGTTCAACTAAAACACAAACCGTAACTGGACGGTAAAAAAGCTTTTTTTCTATAGTCTTTTATACCGCCAGTTACGGTTTGTGTTTTTAATGGAACGATTCTGCAAAAAGC